TCTAGTTTTCATCGCATCGCCATTGACTTGGTAAATTATAACCGTACAAGTGCGCGCTAGGCCTTGCCATTTAACGTTTGATTTTTTTTAAGTGTGTGCAAATTAAGCTCCACCACGGTGATCATGATTGAGGTTCTGTTGGGTTATTTCAAACTCAAATTGTTCTTTCATATTCTTTTGTTTTTATGAGTAGCTCAAAGCACATTGTGATGACATTGTATAGATAAATTCGCATATCTTCTCGGCCCCCCTCACGTCAAAATTCAGGCTCCGCCGCCAACCAAATGTCAAGAGATATAAGTGCAATGTCATACGGAGTAACCTCTTCGATAGATTAACCAGGGTTGCCAGGGTGAGTGATACCCTTGATCATTACCTCACTATGCATTAGCAAAGTTTTGTATTTAATTAATGGGAGCTCTGTGACCTCTTGGTTATCTAGTCCTATGCAAATGCAGTTATTAGTTCATTTGAAGACCCCGAGAAGATCCTAGATCAGGCGGTTCTGGAGATGAATGATGATTTAATAAAGATGCGGCAAGCCACTGCACAGGTTTGTTGTGACTGTACTTAATCACAAAATTTGATAATTGACAATACATGCTCTTTTTCCCTTTTTTTCAAAATTTTCTGTTTTGTCGTCTTAGATATTCCTTGCTACATGTTCTTTTGGATGTTGATGCTTGTTTGGTTATCTGCCTCTCATGTACCAGATTCTTGTATGTTTGTTGGGCCTCCCTGTATAAATATGTAAATGGAAATGTGAGTGTGTTATCTATTTCATTTTACCTGCTAACATGGATTTTTGTTTTGGAAGGTCTTGGCATCTCAAAAGCGGCTTGAGAACAAGTACACAGCTGCTAAACAAGCTGATGCTGACTGGTAATCATGTTATCTGTAACTCTAAGCTTACTTCGAGCCCTACCATCTTTTCTTTACAGAATGAATATTTTCTTACAATTGTAGGTATCGGAGGGCTCAGCTTGCTCTTCAAAAGGGCGATGAGGAGCTTGCACGTGAAGCCCTGAAACGACGTAAATCATATGCTGTAGGTATCATGTAGATCTAGAGTTTTGGATCAAAGGTCTGCACAGTCACACTATCTAGCTACAGTGTAGGATGTAACTTGCTGTTAGAAAATATAATTCTTTCTGATGGTGTGTAATGTGTTATACCTTTGTACCTTCTTATGGCATTAACATGTATGGTGTATATAGGTGTTACATTTATTTAGTAAAGATCTTACATGTTTTTAGAAGCAAAGTTCTTGCATGCAATGTATGTTAATTTGAATATTAAACTCATGATTATTTGTTTGTTTCTGTACTTAGGACAATGCAAGCTCCTTAAAGACCCAGCTTGATCAGCAGAGGAGTGTTGTTGAAAATCTTGTTTCAAATACCAAGGTGAACATAATGGCTGGAATGCTCTTTTCGCTATGTGCATTATGCCTGTCATATAAATCTATATCTTTCTGGGAGCACGTGCAGCACAGGCTGGACAGTATGTATTCACATTTAATAGGTATTTGTTATGCACCTTTGTTAACATATTGATTACATCATTTTGTAGCTTCTTGAGAGCAAAATAGCAGAGGCCAGGCAGAAAAAGGATACCCTAAAAGCCCGTGCTCAATCAGCCAAGTATGCGTCTTTCCTTTGTTGATTATTTGCCCATCTGCTACTTCATAGTTTGGATGCTCTGACAATTGGCCTTTTTTACAGAACTGCAACAAAAGTGAGTGAAATGTTGGGAAATGTGAATACAAGTAGTGCCCTGTCGGCATTTGAGAAAATGGAGGAGAAAGGTATTCTCTTCATTACTGATTTTTTCTCACCATCGTTTTTTTCTTTGTGTAAAGTATCATGTCCATGTTTTTGTGGTGGCTATGGACAATAATTTTGGCTTAGGCCAGAGGTCATGCTCTATATCAAACATAGACATAGATATCTTTATTGTTACGGTTCAAGTTAAAGCATCTCAGTATACAACTACAAGCTGCCATACTAAGCAATAAACACTATAGTAGTCAGTAAGTTACCTTTATGAGCGAGTAGAGGCTGGAACCTCAAAATGTTATCAAATTAATATCAGTGCCAAAATATTCATATTGCAGCAGGTAGCAATTAGAACCCTCTTTTATTGCTGGCTGTGGCATCATAGAAGCACATTTCAATGTTTGTTTTACTTGCCTTTTTTGGGTGGTAATTTTCTAGCGATGAAAAGTTCAGCCACTTGCACAACCACACATAACTTCGAACACGAGAACGAAATTTGAGTTTTTATAATAATTGTTTTGATTGGCATATGGTCTGATTTCTCACTGGAGTTGTTCTGAGCATGACCTTGGCAAATTATGTCTTTAATTCTTCTTTTTCGTATGTTTTTCAATTGGTTAGAATGGCATATGCACTAGCCTCTCTTATTGGTTGTGTTCCTCAGTGGCAAGTGATATCTCATGGAAAATTATTTGAACACTTTTTTCTTACAAGTAGTGTTTTTTATGCTTTTAGTTATGACGATGGAATCCCAAGCTGAGGCACTTGGTCAGTTAGGAGCAGATGATCTAGAAGGAAAGGTATAATTGGACACTGCATACTTATTAGTAACATTCCTTTTGGTAATAAGATCTGACCACCAGTATTTATTTGTGGGCAGTTCGCTATGCTGGAGACTACATCGGTTGATGATGATCTTGCACAAATGAGAAAAGAACTGTCTGGGAGCTCTTTGGTATGCGTCATTTTTCTGTACTCAAAACTGTAATTGACTTCCAAGTTAAAACCTGTGTGTTTTAGATTTTCCTCTCTTCTGCTTGCATGTGCACTATGGCATGCACATAATCATGGGAGAAATAGAGTAAAATATGCAAACATGGATCATAAGCTGCGAACCAACTAAAAATGAAATAAAATAATCTATTAAGTGTCTCCTTTTCATTCCATACTGCATGACTATAATTTCATGTCAACGGCAGAAAGGTGAACTTCCTCAAGGTAGAACCGCTACTCCTCGAGACAGGGATATCGAGAGGGAGTTAAATGAGCTGCGGGAGAAGGCCAACGATTATTAGATTTTACAGGACATGTCCGTGCACCGGGCTGGATGAGATCTCCTCAATCAGAGAACCCCAGAAGAGAGTATAGCCTGCAGATTTGTCCAATGCGCGTTTGAACCTTCAGTGCATGTTCCCTTTTGTGATAAAGGTACGAAGGTGTCGATGCGCGAAAGATTCTCTGCATTTTTCCTGTGAATGACATTGTACAGTTAACCATTACCTCAGTGTAAATCACTAATATTTATAGAGCTTAGCCGAGAGCCTAAATTGTCCACCCTTGTGTACCTTATACCATTTGGTTGGTGCCATAACATGTATGAAAAATATGACCCAATGATCCAGTTGAATTCTGATGCTTCAGCTCGAACGCAAGTCAGGAGATGCCAAACTTACTGTCCTGATTGTACATCCGTAGCTCCTTTTGGAGTTTGGACTCTGTAGATCTGCCTCTCAGTTCGTAATTAATGGTGCTTGTATCACCTCAAATATTGCCAGGAAGATGTTTAAAAAAGGATGCAGCAGCTGATGCTCCACACAGTAACAAAGTTGATCTCAGTATTGAGACACAGCTCTCAGCTTTGGGCAGGTTCTCAGGTATGGAACCTCGGGTAGAGATCGAACCCATTTTAGGTGGATACGACCCGCCATATTGAGTTTATCCAATATTTCCTTGAACTGCTAAAACGTCATATATATTATGTATATACTCCCTCCTCCTCATAATATAAGAGTGTTTTTGACACTATACTAGTGTAAAAAATACTTCTATACTCCCTCCGTTCCTAAATATAAGTCTTTGGAGACATTCCACTATAGATCACATACGGAGTAAAATGAATGAACTACACTCTAAAATGCATCTATATACATCCGTATGTGGTCCATAGTAAAATCTCTACAAAGACTTATATTAAGGAACGGAGGGAGTATTATGGTACAGCACCCATACAGTAACAACTGAACTGGGCTCCTCTACAGTAATGTTATTACTGTATGCATGCTGTTGCTCTCAAAATCCACGTCGGTTTCAATCCAAAGGCTCTCTTTCATCTGCCTCTATCATGTTATTAATCAAAAACAAAAATTGTAACGAAGCCGGAAGAATGGCGGTCCTCCGGCTGGTCACGCCGGTTAGCTTAGCTGTCAGCGTGCATGTGAAACTGGAACGCACGGCGGCGCCGCGGCCAGAGGCCAGGAGCTCGCCGGCCTTGTAAATGGCCTGCATGACCGGAGCATAAATTCCTCAAGGAAACCATCTCCAGTTCTTGTAGCCCTACGATTGTTGTCTGGGGCTACCATGGAGAAGAAAGCTAGCTGGTTAACAAGTGGAGGATGAAAATGCAAGAGTTACTTGGTCGATGCATGAATTACTTAGCATTGATCTAACAAATGCTGCAGGTATGGTGACGGTATCTTGTTTCGGTAGCCGTGCGACGCTTTGTTTGCAGGTTCGCAAGCTCTGGACATAGGAGTAGATTGGAGTACCATAATATCAGGAGTGAGGTGCTCGAGTTGAAGACCCAAGCAAATTTTGGTTTTACCCAAATTCTTTCATTTCAAATTCTGCAGATGGCTTACTCCCGAGATCTTGCGATACATGTAGTGACTATGTCCATCGGGACACATGAAGGCGATAAATAGTGACTTCTGTTTTACACATACATGTTGTGTTTTGCTATGGATTTAGGGTACTGAGATTTCGCGAGAAACTTTCATGTAAATATCTTAATCAAACAAGCATAAAGACTATGTTCATCAACTGCATGGATAGATGATTTTGGCGTGTCACCGATAAGATATAGGAAAGTGATTCCACTTACATAATCCGACTAAAACAACAACAACAACTAGTACTAGTAGTACTCCAGAGTAAATCACATAGCGTTCGCCCATGGACTCTTGCTGCGCCGTTGCCGGCTTGTATCGTCGCAGATCGACTCTCTTATTGCGCCGGTGCCGGGTTGATGAGCCCCTTCCCCACCGTGCACCCGCCGTCGACGACGAGGTTGTGCCCGTTGACATACCTGGCCTCGTCGGACGCCAGGTACAGGGCGGCCCTGGCGATGTCCTCCACCTCCAGCACCGTCCCGCCGCCCATCTCGTTCATGCCGGTCTCCACCACCCGCCTCAGCTCTTCCTGGCTCGCCTCCGGGAACAGCTCTGCCAGCCCGCGCAGCCCGAACTGCGTCGCTATGCCATGCGGCGAGATGGCGTTGACGCGCACCCCGTGGCGCCCCAGCTCCCCGGCAAACGAGCGCACGGCGGCGATGACGGCGGCCTTGGAGATGCTGTACGTGGGCGCGATGAGGCCGCCCAGCACCCCCGCGGTGCTCGCCGTGCAGATGATGCACCCGCTCCGGCGCGGCACCATCACGCGCGCCGCGTGCTTGATCCCGGCGACCGCGGACCGGGCGTTGGTGGCCATGGTGCGATCGAAGTCGGCGAGGTCGAGGGACCCGACGGGGTGCTTGGCCATCCGCCCGGTGACGCCGACGTGGCTGTACATGACGTCGAGCCGGCCGTGGCGCGCGACCGCGAGGTCGACGGCGGCGGCGATCTGCGCCTCGTCCGTGACGTCGCAGCGGGCTTAGGCGGCGTCCGGGCCGAGCTCGGCGGCGACGGCGCGGCCGAGGTCGTCCTGGATGTCGGTGAGGATCACCTTGGCGCCGTTCCTGACGAACTCCGCGGCGATCGCCCTGCCCATGCCGCTGGCGGCGCCGGTGATCACGGCCACCTTCCCAGCCAACCTCTGGGAGTTTGAGGCCGTGGAGTAGCGGCACTGGCTGCTCTCCTTCCTGCAAGAAACACAGAAATTCGAACGTGAGAGGAAGCATTGTGCACTGTACCTGTACGATCCAGGAACACGCGCCGACCGATTCGGTCTTGTGCAGAATGGACCGACCGTGCGTACCTGAGCACGACCTGCATCGCTCGGAACATCCTGCTGATCGGCGAGCAGGCAGAGAAAGAAAACGCGCACGGCTGCTCTGTCCGACGATGATCAACGGCGCGCAAGTTGGCATGAACTTCGATGATGGACGACGCGCAATTTTATAGGAACAAATTAAGGGAGCAGCCCGCCACCTCAATCGATGATTATAGTAAGTGCAAGTTGGCATGCATGCCCTCGTACACAGTGAGGTTACCATTGACTGCACGAGATTTCGAGTTTGACGGCTTCAGTGCACGCGATTTTATACACTCGATTAGAGCATCTACATCCGGGCCCCTAAACTGGTCTCATCTACAGCCGGACCCACTAAACTGGTCTCAAATGCTCGGGCGGGTCGTTCAATTACTGACCGATCACGAAAATGTGACCCAGTCGGACGCTCAAACATGCGTCGAACGCCCGGGCTGTCCGACGCCCCTTATATCCAGCCCAAATGTTGGGCGGATATGGAGCTGTCCGGGTGCGCTCGGCCGGAACCGACACACCAGTCCGGCCCACCCCGACCCCACTCCGTCCCTACAAATATCCCCAATCCGGAAATCCTACCTCAACCGCTCTCGATCCGTCTCTTCTTCTCCCCTCTGATTTCTCTGATTCTATCCACTTCGACGACTCAGACGACCATGTCAAGCGCCGACAGCCACTCCGACTCCGACTCGGACGAGGAGCTGGCACTCCGCATTGCCCTCAAGAGGTCCAAGGTGGACATGGGTGGCACTTCCGGATCGGCCGCCTCACTTCTCCCCCGTTGGCCCCAGTGAGGACGTCGACGTTGGCTCCTCCCGGCTGGCCCGTGTGCAGCTCGGCGAGGGCTGCATAGTCTGCGCCTCCCCCATGCCGTCCCCTGCCCCCGCCCGGCTGCTGTTCCCACACGGGCAGCGGTGGGTGCTTGTGCCCGACCAGCCAGCCCGGATGCGCACACCGGAGTCGGAGGCACGTGCCGCCTGCCGCGAGAGGGAGCGGGCAAGGGAGAGGGACGCGGCGGAGAGCTCTGTCGCCCGCCGCCGCGGGTTACCGACGGAGCCCGATGAGGACGAGCGGCTCCTCGTGTAGGTCTATTGCCGGTCGCTTACGACGGCGGAGATAAACGCTCGGCGGCTCCGCCGGAAGAACGCGAAGGCCAAGGAGAAGGTGACAGAGGCGGCTTGGCTGGAAGCTCAAGCGGCATCAGGACCGGGCCATCTGGCGGCTCAAAGGGCTCATCATCATCTCCTCCCCCTCCTCCTCCGACGACCATGACTCCTCATCCGACGAATCAGACGATCCTCCACCAGCCATCGACGGCTACAACCGTGTCGGCGACCGGAAGGGGAAAGGGCCGTTGAGGAAGCGGTGAAGATCCGCTTTCTTCAATTTAATTTCAAGTATTATATGTAGTTTAAAGTTGTTCGTCGTTTATGTGAACTTTGGTGGTCTTCTCAACATCCATTCGTGATCTTTTGGTGAATGCATTGTGCTTGCCTATGTCCGTTTGCTGATGTACGTAGTTTGATCGATGTTGCATGGTTTAGTATGAATACGGGGATCGGATATGAGATACATGGATGTGGACGACACGATTTGAGGAGTGACCGGTCGGGCGTTTTAGGGCCCGAATTTGCCTAGTCCAGCTGTAGATGCTCTTAGCTCCGTGTTTACGCAACAAGGTGACATCACGGAGGAAGTAACATACATGGTCGACTAGTATACTTGTGTATTAAGTTTCGTGAGTAATGACACACGTGATATTCTTAGTGAAAAAAATACATGCAAATTGCATTTTCAAATGTAACTACGATTTTGTCATCTTGCCTAGAATAATCGACCAAGTTTGATACCCTAAAATTTTAAAATTGTTTGGTTTTTTTTCTAGTATTTTTTTGCTTGATTGTATAATTCACGTGTGTGTGTGTGTGTGTGTGTGTGTGTGTGTGTGTGTGTGTGTGTGTGTGGAAGCATGTTCACATATGAATTTTTGGTGATTAAATAAGCTATTGTCCATGCTAGTAACACATGGGACACACAGATGCTATGCAACAAACAGCATTGCCATTACTTTCCGTATAAGAACATTCATAGGAAATTCAAAATTTCGTTATATCTGTAAAAAGGTTCATCGATGCAAACGAGGATACAAGAGATAACGATGTATAATCTCCACATGCATCCTACAAGCTACGATCGAGCACAGGTCGGTGTTTCCCAGAAGTAATGTAAACTTAGCAAGATGTCAAGGTAGCCAAATGTCAACTTAGCAATGTAGTGTACCAAGATAAGTTTAGTACTAGTAGTTCATACCCTATAATTTGCGGTAGGAATTGCTGCATTTTTCATGCATCCTATTTTTATTGTGTCACTGAATCATGAATATATTAGTTTTTTAAGAACCTCAACGTGAGGGCAGGGGGTTCCCGCCTTTCATTAAGAACAAGAGAGATGATCAGTTCATAAAGAAAATCGGACCCAAAACCTAACATTTTTCCGGTTAATTAGGAGAACCAAGTAAAAAGTCCAAAACAGAACAATGCACTAGATCTTGGAGATAGGGTAAACATAAATGCAACATCAAGGGACCTTTTCTATGCGCTGACATGGGTAAATGTTGCTGATTGGCGGATGGAAATATTTTGGCATGCTAGGGGATCCTCTAACATTGAGAAAAAAAAGTTAGAGAAGCTACATTACCCTAACGTTCCTTCTTTCAATCCATATGATTATGGCTAAAACGACTTAAATTACTTTGCAAATTGATGATCCACTATGTACATTTATAGTAATTACATACAAATAAATTGATGGTGAAATAAAATTAATTTAAAATTATTTATATCTACAGTTAATAGCAACAGTAAACAACCTGTTAACTACCTACTAATAGTCCATAACTTTCCGTCTTCATTTTACCCTAAACTATCACTGTAGCACCGTGACTTTCCTTCTGTATGTAGAGGATCCGGTTACACCCTGTAGCTTGGGGGAGTGCAAGCTAAAGGATGTTGCCCGTCCATCTTAGCGATCTCAGAGTCCACTAATGGGATTGTCAAGAGCACCATGTCGGGCGAGATTTGGATAAGAAATACTAACACCTCTGCTGGTATGAATATAACTCAACTGCAATAGTTTTTTTTCCCTTTGGATGATGCTACAGGAGGTCAATCTTACCGGTGAGGTCGCCGACACTAACGTGGAAGCTCACCTTGAATGGTAACTACACCACCGCCTCAGCCTATCATGCTCATTTTGAAGGTACGGTGATGACGTCCATGAGACCAGTCATTTGGAACAATTGCCCCCTCCCCCCACCCAAATGCAAATTCTTCGCTTGGTTGATCATGGAAGATAGAGTTTGGACGCCGACGCCCTCCAGAGAAGAGGATGGCCAAATTGTGGGCTTTGTCAACTTTGTAGGAGGAGCCGGAGACTTTCCCTCACATTATATCCGGGTGCCATCTCTCCATTCGCGTTTGGAAGATGGTTCGAGATTGGATTGACCTAAAATTCTTGAATGTTGATCACTGGGTAAACTTCAACTCGATCTCAGAGTGGTGGCTTGCGGTGACTCATCCATCAGGCAACCGGAGTAAATCGATGGCCACATTTATCATGCTTGTCGCTTGGAAGCTATGGAATGAAAGAAGTGTGCGTCTTCCCAAGCCACTCTTTAATGCGGTCAATCATTTTTGCTAAGATTCAACGAGAAGTTTCTGGTCGGTCGACCGCCGGGGCTAAGGCTGGTTGTAATGATAGTATCATAGCTAGTATCATGCATGCCAACTAGGCAATTTTGATGAAGTGTCATAGAATTAAATGAAGAAAGAGAGAGTTGAGTATCATATTATGATACCGTATCATAATAAATGATATACTACTATGTGTCATGCATGACAATAAATAAATTACTACATGTGTAGGATCTAGAAGTATGTCTAGAGGGGGGGGGGGTGATTAGACTACTTGACCAAATAAAGACTTAAACTTTTCCCAATTTTAGTCTTTGGTAGATTTTAGCAAACTTAGCACAAGTCAAGCAATCTTAACACAATTCAAGCAAGCATGAAAAGAGTATATGAGCAGCGGAAAATAAAGCATGCA